CACTTGTTGATGTTGTTACAGGGTGGTAAAGCTTCACCAGCGGCCCCCTTTCCCTTGGAGGCAGTTCCCTGCACTTGTTGATGTTGTTACAGGGTGGTAAAGCTTCACCAGCGGCCCCCTTTCCCTTGGAGGCAGTTCCCTGCACTTGTTGATGTTGTTACAGGGTGGTAAAGCTTCACCAGCGGCCCCCTTTCCCTTGGAGGCAGTTCCCTGCACTTGTTGATGTTGTTACAGGGTGGTAAAGCTTCACCAGCGGCCCCCTTTCCCTTGGAGGCAGTTCCCTGCACTTGTTGATGTTGTTACAGGGTGGTTAAGCTTCACCAGCGGCCCCCTTTCCCTTGGAGGCAGTTCCCTGCACTTGTTGATGTTGTTACAGGGTGGTAAAGCTTCACCAGCGGCCCCCTTTCCCTTGGAGGCAGTTCCCTGCACTTGTTGATGTTGTTACAGGGTGGTTAAGCTTCACCAGCGGCCCCCTTTCCCTTGGAGGCAGTTCCCTGCACTTGTTGATGTTGTTACAGGGTGGTAAAGCTTCACCAGCGGCCCCCTTTCCCTTGGAGGCAGTTCCCTGCTCTCCCCTGCGAGAGGGGCACCCTAGTCCATTCACCCCATCCGACTTCAGAGTGTGTACTCTTTGAGTTTGGCAACTCACCACCGGCATCCAACCAAATCTAGCGGATCAATGGCGCGTCAACTTAGTTCCTGGTCAGCTCGCAAGTTGATTTTATCACGTCCTACACCGTCCACAAGATGGGGGGCCACCTCCCATTTCATCACCTCTCAAACACCCCGAGAGGTCGGCAGGCGGACTTGAACCCGGACGCGCCGGGAGCAGAAGCCAGGCCTTAACCTCTGCCAGCCGCATTGTTGTATTCCCGTCGGAGGTTTCATAAGCCAGATCTCGGCTCGGGATATTTGGGTGACTTATAATCGTATAACAATTTGGTTAATGTCCGCTTGAGCGATTGGCCAGTCCCCAAAGTTTGATATATCCTAGGCGATCGCGACCCTTGACGTGGTGATGTGGACGCGCCACATACACACGCGGGTGGTGTAGCTGCCTGCATATGAGGGTTACCTTGCAGTGGGGTACCACCATCAACTGAATGCCTCCACCATGTCTCCCTTGGTGGGAATTTTCCCAACATCGAACAGTCGACCACACACGACGGAACGCATGCTGTAAAGCATGTATTGCCCAACAAGGTGATTGCTGCGGGGAAGAGGTGTCAAATGCTTCCCGTACCTCTCAGTCTCCTCCCCCTCCTCCTCCCCCTCGCCCCCGCTGGCCCTTCCCCATCTTTTACCCGCCGCTGCTGAACTCCCCTCCCTCCCTCCCCTCTCTCTCTCCCCGGACATAGACCCCACACCCACCCACACCTTGCTGGGGGTCCCCCCTTCCCCGCCTCACACACCCTCCACTTCCTCTCCCGCCATCCCATCAGCAACTCAACACACCATGCCGTAACACCATGACGTCCACTGCTGCACACTGTACAACAAAAGTAA